CTATCTATTATTAAATTGGGGGTATGGAAGTCTAATATTACTATCATTAATGTTGCTCTCTCTTCTTGGTTCTGTCAATGTTTATCTTAGACATTTAAGTACTTGGATGTTCCATGCATATGATTGGCATGTCTTCCTGGTGAATGGACCATTTTATCACAATATAAATACCTTTCTTGTCTTTGGGAACAAGTGTTGAATTAGTCTGTTTTTGTTTTAGTTTTCAAACATTTTTCATTAATATATAATGTTTGAATATCTTTATGGGCCACAGTACAGCATTGCAACAGATGCACATGGTATAAACTGATGCACTCAGGCCCAAGGACTCCCCTCCATTCTTCCATGTTTGGAGCCTTCCACCTCTTTTCCATTTTTCTGTATAGCTTATTATATGTCATTCTGATCCACAGGCTTAAATTATATTTTATCTTAAGTAACCACAGTCACTCATGCTCTTTTTTGGTAATCATTTCCATGGCATATCTCTCTCTGTATATCACTTTCTGTATATCTGGATCCTTAAATGCCAAGTGACTTTCCTGTAGATAGCATATAATCGGATCTGGCTATTTTATTCATTCAGGTACTCTGTGTCTTCTTTTATTGAAGAACTTAACTCATTTACATTTGAAGTAATTATTGAGAGGGAAGGATTTATTATTGCATTTGTTTCGTTGTTGCCTGTTGTCCACAGGGATTTTTGGTCTATTTCTTCTTTACCTTCTCTCTCCCTTTTGTGCTTTGCAGAGTTTTTGTACTGATACATATGATGGTTAATTTTTATATATCTACTTGTTGGATGGTGGGATGCCCAGACTAAAGGTCATTTCTGGATGTCACTGTGAGGCTGTTTCTGGGTGTGGTTTCAGATGAAGGGGTGGACTCAGTAGCATGGATTTCCCAGAATGGTTGGGCATCATTCAGTCTATTCATGGTCTGAATCTGTGTGCCTCTCTCTCTCTCTCTCTCTCTGTATGTGTCTGTCTGTCTCTATCTCTCTCTCTCTCTCTCTCTCTCTCTCACACACACACACACACACAGAGAAACATGATTAAAGGATTTCAGCTGGCTTTTTTCAGTTGGAACATTTCATATCACCATCTGCCCTCACGCTGGACTTAATCCTATCCATTCCCCTGGCTCTCCAGCCTGGCAATTTGGGTTGATTCCCACCTCTGGCTTTTCTGCGTCTGTGGCTTGAGGATGGCAGACTGTGAAACTTCTCAGCCCCTGTGACTGTGTCATCTCACTTTCTCTCTGTCATCTTTTATTGGTTCTGGTTCTCTGAACTACTCGGACTGAAACAACATGCTTTGGTTCTTTTCTTCTTTGTGTAACTTCTAGGTATTTCCTTAGAGTTTATATGAACTATCTTACACTTTTAACTCTCTTTTGCAAGCTGCTAATTTAGGTTCAATGGCATATATACCCTCTTTACTTTAACCCCTTCTGCCATTTTATGTTATTGTTGCTACAATTTGTATTATGTGACTTTTGATATAGTTTTAATTATAATTTTTTTAAAGATCTATTTTTATTGGAAAGTCCGACATACAGAGAAGAAGAGAGACAGAGAGGAAGATCTTCCATCTGATGACTCACTTCCTAAGTGACCACAACAACCGGTGCTGCACCAATCCCAAGCCAGGAACCAGGAACTTTCTCCAGGTCTCCCACGTGGGTGCAGGGTCCCAAGGCTTTGGGCCGTCCTCGACTGCTTTCCCAGGCCACAAAGCAGGGAGCTGGATGGGAAGCGGGGCCACCGGGATTAGAATCCGCACCAATATGGGATTCTGGCACGTTCAAGGTGAGGACTTTAGTCTCTAGGCCACTGTGCCAGGCCCTAATTATAATTATTTTAAGGCTTTATTTTTAACTTCTGTGTTAGAATTAAAAATGATCCCTCTGCTACCATTGCAGCAATACAGCGTTCTATGTTTGCTAGTTTCCTTCACTCATGAATTGTGTACTTTTTAAAATGAAACCTGTTCTCTCCTTTGTGTCTGTGGAGGAAATTCAGGGCTTGAGCCACAGAGTGCGCCTCAGAAAGCCTTGGGAAAATGAAATTTAAAAATGTGTTTATTTTGGTGCACAAATTTGGAAATCCACATATAATTTTTTCAAAACGCACATTACCATGAACTTTCTGGAGCCTCTCTGTGATGGATTTCAACTTTTTTAATACCAACATGAACTCACCTTGTGATTTAGTTGTTTATCAACTTTTAAAAGTGCCTTCATTTCTACTTTGCTAGGATATATAAATGTTCAAATAAATACAGAAAAGAAAATAAGGCCAAGACATCAATACACAAAATCTGCTGATAGTTAAGTACATCACTTTGTGTCCAGTCTCCTAATAAAGGTTTAGAATGCTTCACCACCATACAAAATCTTTCACGTCTCATCAAGATGAACTATACAACTAATCATCACCTTGGCTGAATGGTGGGTTGGTCCATCCATCCAACACAAGGCACAGATCCCAAGTGGTGAATCTCAGGAGGGTGACAGCAGTGACAGTCCCCTGTCCCTTGGCAACTAGTTCTTAGGCTGGCATCCTAGTAAGTCTTTCTTCTTAGGTGTGGTCATGGTGGAGGTGTGGGGTGAAGCTAGCTGCTGGGAAGGCTCCCAGTCCCCCGGGTGTCTTCAAGGCCAAGTTGCAAGTTGCGCATGACCACTTAGAGGATGGAGTGGCCTATCAGAAGGGACACTGTGTGGGTCATTCATTCTGTCACAAGTTTAGCACTTATGGATCAAAGTTTGGCTGAGTGCTATGCATAGTTCTAGATATTGGGGACAGAGCAGAGAAGAAAGCAAAGCCCTTACTTTTGGGAACATGCACTCTAGCTGGAGGGTGCAGTCCACAGAGCAGCATGCAGCAGGTAGCAGTGACAGATAATTAGGACCAGTGGAAGGAGGTGATAGGGAGAATGCTATTTTGGAAGAAATTCTCCAGGAAGATATTTCTAACTGGTTGGGGACGGCAAGGAGACACCAGGAGTGGAGAAGTTCTGTGGATGGGGAGTCTCAGAGAACAGTGAGTGTCCCAGTGCCTCAGCTTAGGGAAAACATGCAATGCAGCTTGAGCAACAGCGGAAGGAGGTGGAGGTCCTATAGTGCAGCGGGGCAGGAGTAAGAGGTGGAAGCTGGGCCTTGTGGGCCACTCAGAACATTGTGCTTCAGGGAATGAGAGGGGAGCCTGTGGATGGTGTTGAGCGGAGAAGTGCAGGATCTGACTTAAGCCTTTCAGGAGCATCTAGAATGTTCCAGTGGTAATGGGGTAAATAAGAAAGCAGGGATAGCTGACAGCTCACAGAATTCCGGCTCTGATGGCAGCTTAGACCAGGGTGGTCCTGGTGGTGGGAGTATGAGAGATGGAGGGTTTGTGGGTAACGTTAAAGATAAAGCATATAAGACCTGCTGACCCACTGTGTGGGAGGCGCGAGAGAAGGAAGGTGCTGCTCATGACACTGAGACCTGGAGCCCAAGTGACTGGAAGGTGGGTCACTGAGGCCTCGGAGAGTGACAGGAGATGGACAGGGACAATCAAGGGGCTAGGACCCCAGCCCAGAGGCACAATCAAGGGACTGGGACTCCAGCACCTACAGAAGCAAAGATGTAAAACAAGAGGGTACCACTGAGGGCTGCTTTAAAAAGGTGATTGAAAAAGCTGTCCAAAGATAAGTTTAAGGGTTGGCATGATAGCTCAACTGGTTAACTCATTGCCTATAGGTGGTGACATCCCTCACGGGCACTGGTTCCTGTCCCAGCTGCCCAACTTCTGATCCAGCTCTCTGCTTGGAGCCTGGGAAAGCTGCGGAGGGTGCCCCGAGGCCTTGGGACCATTTACCACATGGGAGACCTGGAAGAGGCTCCTGGGTTCTGATTGGCTCAGCTCTGGCCATGGTAGCCATTTGGGGAGTGAGCCAGTGGATAGAAGATTTATGTCTCTTCTCTGTCAATCTGCATTTCTAATAAAAATAACTAAATCTTAAAATTTAAAAAAAAGATTAGTTTATTCTGGTGCAAAATAATTTGAAATCCATTCAGTTTTTCTTTTTTATATTTTTCAAGAATATTATATGCATGGAGTTCAAAACTTTTTATAACAGAATAGACTTATCTTTTAATTCCAGTTTCCACTATTTTTTAGAAATGCCTTGTGTTTATAATGAACATGACTACTTTCTTCCTAAATCATATGAAAAGCTCCTTTTAAAATTTTTACTGTGCTTTATTGAAGGAGAGAGAGAAAAAGATTTTCCACCTACCAGTTTACTTCTCAAATGCCCATAACAGCCAGAGCTGGCCCAGGTCAAAGCCGGAAGCCTGAAATTCAACTGGGTCTCCCTCATGGGATACAGGACCCAAGCACATGGACCTCCCTTCTGGCTCCCCCTGCCTCGCAGGGTGCACATAGGCAGGAAGCTGTAATTGGGGGTGCAGCTGGAACCTGAACCCACATACCCCAAAATGAAAGGGGGGTGCTCCATGTGGCAGCTTGCCATCTTGCAAATCCCTACTCCCACCCTCCTTCTACTTGACCTAATGAGGAAAAGGCCCCAAGTCAATGGCCTGTCAGCTGAATCTGGCTGGTAAGCATAGTAGGCTTAGTTCTCAACATGTATTAAACAGCTGAATTTTTTGCTGAGGTTAACACTTCATGGGTCTTCCCTTATGAATGTGAGTGTTCTGCTTCTGGACAAGTGGCAGATCCAGCAGTGCTGTCTTCTGCTGATGGACAGGGAGGCTGTTGGGCAGGACACGCCCCATTCCCATTCGGCAGGTGGCCAGGCCCCCTCCTGTCTGTCAGGCCCCAGCCAACTGCTGCCCTTAACAACAGGGGTCATAGAGTGCGCCTACTTCCTGCCATTGAGAGACAAGCTAGCAGAGATAATACACTTCATAAGATAGAATACTAAGTGTTCAGCCCTTTGGGGCTTGTCACTTTGTTGCTATTGTTAATGGCAGTATTCCCTCCACTGATCCTGCAGGGTTTCCACTGTGCACCTTTGGCCATGAGGATTTCCAAAAGCTGCAGGATGCTTCTAACAGGGGTTGAGAGGTGAGTAAAGCTGTTGGTCATGAATGAGAACCCCCATATCCCAACACAGAATGAAGGGCAGTGTGGCTCCTGGACACGTAGAAAATTGTGTCCTGCCAAGACCATCAGTGCCCCCGCTCCAACCTCAGAGTTTTTTCTGTCCTTCAGCAGAGCTCTCCGCACAGCGGCCCAGGTCACCACGTGACTCATGTCACAGCCCCTCAAGCTGAGCAAGCTTGCGGCACATCACAAATTACATTTGCAGCCCTTCTTATCGGGCCAGCTAGGAAATTAAACCTAAGCGGCTATGGTGTTGCTAAGTAATACAGCTGTGCACACAGACACCTGCCATGGCCCCATTCAAGCGTCATTTCCCACTGTGGCTAATAAGGTTTGCAATCTTCTCAGGAAGCCTGCTGGCTTTTTTTTTTTTCTTTAAGGCCAGAAAATGAGGTAACTTGTTTAGAGGCAAGAGAGAGAATTTCCCTTTCTAGAAGCTGGGGATGGTGTGTGTGTGTGTGTACGTGCCTGTGGGTGTGGGTGACTGTACATTGGAGATCTCCAGTCTCACAGCAGTGTGAAGAAGATCCGAGAAGGGGCACCCTGCCCTGGATGGCTAGGCCTGGGTGAATCCATCTGCATGTCCCCCACCTCGTCCTGGGGATGTTGGCGTGGCTCCTGTGGGCATAGCTCTGGCTTGTGAGGCAGTGGCTCTGTGTCTCCCTTCCAGCCCCCCACAGCGTATATGTGAACATCCTGTCGCTATGCTTGAGGCAGGGAGGTTAGTGTGGTGGATATCCTGGTACTGTGCGTGGTCAGGGGCTGAGGGCTTGTGGAGCCCAGGGTTTGCCCCAGTCTGCCTCTCAGAAAGGACATCTCAACCTTCTCTATTCTGGGCTCCTGGGATGGCTGAGGAAGGGGAAAAGCTCTCTTTTTAGTTTTCATTTTTAACGCATTTTTAAATTTGAAATACAAAGTTAAGAGAGTTAGAAAAGAGAGAGAAGAAGAGTGAGAGATATTTTCTATCTGCCATTTTATTCCCAAAATGGCTGTAACATCCAGGGCTAAGCCAGTTCAAAGCCAGGAGCCAGGAGCTTCTTCTAGGTCTCCCACATTGGTATAGAAAGGTCCAAACACTTGGGCCATCTTCCACTGCTTTCCCAGGCACAATAGCAGGAAATTGGATTGGAAGTGGAGCAGCCAGGACTGGAACTAGTGCTCATATGGGATATTGGCCTTGTAGGTAGAGGTTTAGTATACTGTACCATAAGACTGATCTCAGTCTCTCCTCTTTAAAAACGGGATTTGTATTGATTAATTTTTATTTTGAGAGGCAAAGAGATCTTCCCTGTGCTGATGCATCCCTCAAATGCCCACAGCAGCCAGGGCTGTGCCAGACTGAAGCCATGTGCTTAGAACTCCACCTTGCTCACTGGGTAGGTGGGAGGGCCCATGCACTTGTGCTACAGTCTGCTGCTTTTAGCAGAAATTGTAATTGGAAACAGGGGAGCTGGGACTCGATCCCAGACACTCTGGATATGAAATGCAGCAGCTTAGCTAACTGCTGCCCCAAATGCTCCTCATCTCTCAGGGGGATTACTGCTCACCTCTTGCTGGCGATGTTGGAAATGATGTTTCCACACTCACACAGGCAGCATGGTAGCCTCTGAGTGATGACTACAGTATGGGGTGTGCTGTGTACCTGGCAGGAAACCTGCAACACCAAGTCACCTCCCACATCTGTGCTTCAGGAACTCCTGGTGATGTGGCCCAGGCAGTCCTTGAATCCTCACAAACAGAAGAACGTGAGTAAGGCAGACTGCCAGGGCTCCCTCGGGCATTTGCTGTGTGGTAGGAGGCCCAGCTGTCCCTAGAAGGTAACAGCACTTCATCTCGAAGTTACTAGATCCAACTTTCTACGTCGAGGACATTTTTTGCATGTTACAGCAGCCTGGGACCATCTCCCTGGTGAAGGGCTGGGCGCTGCCAGAAGTGGGCTGCTCTGTGTGTGTGTGTGTGTGTGTGTGTGTGTGTGTGTGTACCAAGGCTGGCCATTGGTCTGACTATATTTATTATATCCCAAGAGGCTGACACATATTGTTCCATGAAACATTTAGCTAAGCAGGGGCCAGATGCCAGTGTGCTGTTTTTTTTAGCAAACAGTTGAGAGTAAATATTGGTGTTGAACTCTTAGGCCACCACCATGTCCCATTTTGTGGAGCCTTGCCAGTCTTGCATCATGGTGAGCTGCGATTTGTTCCATGTCAGTGGGCCAGGCAGGTTGGGTCCACGGGATTACTTTCCTTAGGATTATTGTCCCCAAGCAGTTTTCACTATCATTTCTTATCCTTGGCCGTTCAAGGGAATGCTTGCTGAATTTAAACCACATGCAACTGGCTACTCGGGAGGACTGTCCTTTGCTTGGTTGATTGTGATTTTTCTTGAACAACTCAGGGGACTCATGTTGGTCATGCGGTGTTGCTTCCAAGGATGAGTGAGCCCTGCTCTGAGAGTGCCCAGGGCTCTGTTGGTTTCCTTCCGCACCATGGGTGAGTGGCTGAGCACACACGCAACACATTTTTACAGAGTTTATACAAAGTGTGTATTGTGAAAAGCTGTGCATGACCCTCAAAGGTGTGTGCACCCAAATCAACTTCTGTTTTAATTCTATTTCCCATGCACTGTTTGCAGTCTCCTGGTGTTTCTGTTGATGATGCACTTGCCCATTTGGAGACCCAATTTCAGCTGCATTGCTTGGGTTGGTGTGGGAATAGTTGGTTGCATTCTTACAAGATCAGGGAGGCCACCGTCCTGCTGGGAGCCTCCCAGGACAGAATGACGTGAGGCCAGCCTCGGAAGGTCAGCGTAGGGGCTCAGGGCACTGCTGCCTCCCTTGGAATTTGCTTCCATCCTTACCACTACTGGGAAGTCCTGGCTGAGTCGAGAGTACACACCCTTCCTACCTCTCGTATGAAGACTGGCAAGAACCTTAGAAAAGCACCTGTAACAGTGAGAGGACTTCTGAAAACCAGAGCTGAAAATGCTGGTCATACATGGTTGTATACTCGTGGTGGAAAATGGTGCCTATGTTGAATTACTTAATGAATTTTAGATAGTACTTAAATTATAAATATTGTTTATTATTGTATTATATATCATTACTTATTATACATAAATATTATTTATTATTGTGGAGAGCCATTTGGGATACAAGTACCGGAGTCAGCATCTGGGTGTACAGCAACCTTCTAGGGTCCATCTTAGCAGCAAGCAGGATCAGAAGCAGAGGAGTTGAATATCCCATGCAGCAATTTAACTGCTGAGCCCCATGTGTGCCCCATTTTGATTGCCTGTTATTGACGGTATAGACACATTTTAATTTATTTAACGAATCTATTGTGACATCTTGACAGCAGTGTTTGGAGTCATTTTTGTGCCTGTCAAGAACACTCTGGAAGTTTCCTCTTGTGTCCAAGTTTAGCACATGTCCAAAGCTTCAGTTGGCGTTGCTGAATCATCCTCCTGAGCCGACCAGCTGTGTGTGGATTCCTTGTGTTGTCATGTACAATGAATTTGTCAGTTTGATGGGTGGAAAATGGACATGTCGCTGTTCATTTTAATGTCCTGCATTACGTGAGGTTCAGCATTCTCCTTGGGGCTCATTGGCTGACAGGACTCTCTGCTTCCTGTCTGCCCACGGAGGAGTGTACGTGTGGTTATCACCTGGAAAGATGAGATTGGGGCATGCTGCCAGCAAGCCGAGGGCAGTTAAAGCAGTTGCTGGTAGCCTCCAGAGCCTGGAGCCAATCTCCCTAAGTGTCTGTTTTCAATCATCCTCAAGTGGCCTTCTAATCTCAGAGTGCTGTGCTGGTCCTGGCCTGCAGCAGGGCCAGGCAGGGCCAGCAGGGTATGACGCCAGGCCTGGATGAGCAGGTGTGGGGATAGCTGCATGGTGCTGTGTCTCATCGGCTCATGGGTTCTTTTTCTTTCTTTCTTCTTGAAGATTTGTTTATTTGGAGCCCAGCTCGATACCCTAGTGGTGATGCCTAGTGCATGCTCCGGGACCTGAACCCATGGACTCTGTTCGGAATGCAGGTCCCCACGTGGTATCTTAGCTGCTAACCTGAACACCCACCCTTCATAGTGCTTTCTCATCACTCATCCTCATGGGAGGCTGTATCTAGGGGAAGAGCGGAGTCAAGGAGAGAAAAAGCCACACTCAGCCTCCCAAACGCCTCTGCACTCTGGGATGGAGGACAGCCACCCAACACCACCCCAGGATCCCTGATGTGGGGCATGCTCTGAGGGTCCTGCTCATGAGGTTTCGATAGTTCAGCAGTTCTGAATTACTGCCGATCTTGCCACTCCAAGCACGATGAGATCTCTGTAGAATCCACTGGTTGATATAGTTCACCTGAGAGTCTCCATTTGCCCAGATATTCACTGCCAACACATGGCTGGGGGAGTTATCTATTTGTTCTGTCCTTCATCCTCTGTTATGGTACCAGGTGTCCTCTGCAGACTCCAATGTACTGCTATATCCTCCATGTGCACCTGGACATGCTGTCCACTGCTCTAAGCCACTGAGGAGACCCAGCTCTGACACATGCACTCCACGGTCAGACCATGGGACCTGCCATTCTCTCCATGGTTGGGATTCTGAGTTCAGTTGGGGGATCCCTAAAGAAACTTCATCTGAGGTGATCCCAGACCTGATTCTTGTGTTTGCTTGCCAATAGAGGGTCTGACACAGTCTGTCGCCCCAATCAGGTTATGCATATGCTGGTGGTTGCAATTGCTGGGTCAGTTCTACCTCCAGTCCCATCTTCAATATAAACCAATGGGTGTTGCAGCCTAGTCCAGTCCTGCCCACCACACACTCGGTCTTCACACAAACCAGTTGGTGCTGCAACCTATTCGGAGTGACCTACAACAACTCTCATCAGGTCCACACCCTGCCCTGGTTCCCATTCGTACAGGTATGTAAAGCTGACTGTCTGTCCCACATCCCATTAAGCTCTCATACATGTCAATAGGCATTGAAGTCTAGTTCAACCCAACCAGCCCCACTGTCCAGCCCACACATATGCTGGTGGGTGCCACTCTCTGTCCAGCCATGCCTGCCCCAGTTCTCATGCTCACCAGTGGGAATGGAAACCCAAGAAGGAGGTGCCCACTATTTCCATGCTAGGTCCACTCTCATTCCCGGATCTTGCACTCTCCAGGTGGTTATGCAGTTTAACTTGACAGAGTTTGTCTTCCATGCCAGCATCTGCCAGCTGATACTGCAGCAAAGCCCAACCAACCCACACCCACTCTGGCTTATGCAGTAGGAACAGTCAACCCAGCCTGGGTTTCCCCAATCCAGCTCATATGAGGCCGACAGGTATTGTAGCCCTCCCCAGCCTGGTCTGCCCCCATCCCAACTCTCACACTCACCAGTGGGAGTGGTGGTCCAGCAGGGGAGCCCCACCCAGCTTCTCCCCTCTCCCTCAGGTCTCATGTGTGTTGGTTGGGTGCTGTGGTTCAGTGTGGCATGGCCCACCTCATCTTGGCATTTGTTAGTGGGTGCTGTAACCTGGCTGGACCTGGCCCATCCCTAATTCCAGCTCACGCTGGTGGGGGGAGAGCTACTTTAATTGTTTTTTTTTTAAATGGTGGTAATTATATATATTATATATATTTAATATATATCTAATATATATATTACTAATATATTCTAATTATATTAGAAATATATTCTAATTATATTACTAATATAATATAATATATTACTAATATATATTAATTATATATAATATATATATTGAAGGTACAGAGTGACATTTCAGCACAGGCACAGTGTGCCCTGATGAAATCAGGCATGTTTGTCACCTCACAGTCATCTCTTTGTGTTGGGAGTATCCAGAGACCTCCCTACTAGCCATTTTGAAACAATCGTTTGTTGTTAAGCATGGTTATTGTACCACTTGGTAGAATAATAGAAGCTACTCCTCTAATTCACCTGCTTCCAACCATCAGGATGGGCTGCTGTTCTAGCTACTTTGGGAAGATGCTGCTGGGAGAATAAGTAGGCTTTAGATTTTAGGCCAAAATGGGACATTGGACCTTGGGAATTTCATTCATTTTTTCAATGACATCAAAGTCAGCCTAACACAGCTTCAAAGAGTAAGACCCTCGTTTGATCCGTGATTACCAGCTGTGTGGCCAGGACAACTATTTAACCTCTCTGAGCCTCTGCTTCCTCAACTGCAAACATGAGGAATATTTTATGTGGTGGTTGTGATTAATCAATCAGATGAGGGGTGGGCATTTACCTCAGTGATGAACATGCTGGTTAGGATAGCTATGGTCACAGAGCAGACCATCTGAATGTGAAGCTGGGCTGTGGCTTCTGGCTCCAGCTTCCGGATAAGGGACACACTGGGAATCAGCAGGGATAACTCAAGTGTTGGGGAGAGCTGGATTGAGTTCCTGAGTGCCGACTCAGGTCTAAGCCATTCCCGGTCATTGTATGCATTTGGGGAGTGAACCAGGCATGGAAACACTTTATCTAATAAATAATACCAGATACTATTTCTACAGAGCTGAGCAAGTTTAGGCTTTGGGATCAGGTGAAGCCCAGTGAAGCTTGTTGTCAAGTTCATGACATGTTAAGGTTTGGAAGTGTGGTGCCCAGTGTGGCCATGATGAGATGTGAAGCAGAGCCCAGTGGGAGTTTGTCAGGTCAGGATGGATGTTGCCCCTGGAAGGGATTGAGGTGCTGTTCTGGATAACCTGCAGAGTCTCAAGTATCTCGTTATAGAAGCAGAAGGTAGCTCCTTTTGTGCTTACCATGTACAACTCAGGGAGCAGATGATCGCACAGCAGGACCTGTCCTGAAATGGTCTCCTCCTCCTC